AGTACGAAATTTCAAAACTGAACCCCATCTTCTGTTGAAAGCAAGTTTGGTACCGTAGGGAAAAACGTATCAAGCAAAATACCAAATGTAGTCGGAAACTCTCCCAGGACAAATACAATATGACTATGACAAGCATTATCGTTGCTATCTTTTTGCTTCGCAGTTCAGATAACCTTCCGGAAACCATCTTTCTTCTGTTCACAGTTACCACACATGCAATCATAGAAAAATTTACAACAAATAAGATGGAGAGTTAACAACCGAATGAACCAGATAGTATTTGGTATTTCATCCATGGTATCTTGTGGATGATGTAATGTGTATTGCAATACAAGACCGAGCTGTTGTCATTCGAGATTTTCATCACGCCTTCAATACTTAGAACTAAAGGAAAAGGCATTTCCATGCTTGTGATCAATACAAATGATACAACTGAAAATATGACCGTTGTTTTGTCCACAAATACTTGGTCCTGAGAACAGGAAAAGACAAATCACACATCCTTGAGAGGCAAGATTCGTTGTTGTTAGAATAGTTGAAGAATGAAAACTGAATGCTTAAGCAGCTGAAACAAGGTTAATGTAGCACCCACTTACGCTTAGAAGATTTCCTGCTACGTCAGATAAAAAAAAGTGTACATAGTACCAACAAATATCGTAGTTTTATCCATGTTATCATATAATGATATGAGAGAAAGAATAATTGAAACGGATGATTTGTTTTTCGGTGATAACCATGCTACTACTACACTAATAATTGTGCTTAAAACTGCAACTAACAGTAGAGGTGTTATGGTGATAACACCTAGTTTGTCTGCAATTAACGGAATCAATTCTGCTTTCTCTAACTTGCAAGTAAAGCAGAAATAATTTGAGAACAACATACAAGATATAGCAACTATCATTGATAGTATTACTATCATTAGCTCTTTTATGATTATTATTATTATTGTAGTTGTTTTTGTTGTTGCTGTTTTTATTTTTGGTTATTAGTTATCATAGATTTTTACCATTCCTAATTTGTATAAACATATTCTTTACATTCTGATTTTTTCTGTCGACAAATTCTTAAAATTCCAAATTTGTCTTAATACATAATATGTTTTAATGTCTTAAGAATGTACACCTCTGAGGAGCCAAAAATTTCTAGAATTAAACTTTTTTTTTATAAACCTGATTTTTGGTTTTATATGACAGTAAGAAAGTAACTGATGAAGAAAATATCATATGATAGTGCACTTCTTTTTTAGCTACGGCCATTTGAAAGTACCCATTTCTATTATTTTTCCATTTTTCATCCATTTTACCCTTTTTTTGGCTATTATCAAGAAACAAATCACAATTTCACAACTAACATTTGGTTCATACTTTCACTAAAAGATAAAGTGGACCATTTTGAATAAATTTAACTAAAACAATTTATAGGTTGGTGTTAATATTAGAAAGTTTTATAAAATTTTGTTGCTTTATTGTGTCAAATTGACCATGCTGTCAATTTTGTATATTTGGGATTTTCTCTTTTTTCAGAACAAAAATGTTTATTTAACAAAGAAAATATTTAAAATTTATTTTCATAAGATGCAAAACTGAATGATTTGATATCCGTGTGCACATAAGGAGGATCCTGAAAAGATACAATGTAGGTTTCGATATGGTGTAACTCGAGTTTGAGTTATTTCTCATTGCCAACATTTTGGAGGGTAAATGGTTGCTTTTTTATTTTGATTAAGATGAATCATCACTAAATATTTCTTGAGATAGATTTTTTTTATATTTGGTGTAAATGCAGTTGCTGAAATGGTGTTGTGAAAAAAACAATAAAAAGTTGGGGTCACCGTCCTTGTTTGGACAGTATCTTGATCTAAAGTACTGTGTATTTTCGAGGTTTTTTACATTGATATTACAGGGAAATGGGCCTTTGTAACCTTTTGCTAGTTGAGAAAGAAAGTCAATGACGTAGATTTTTCTTATTTTCTCTAAAATGGTAGTCATGATATAGATTTAAAAAAAATAGGAAAAGATAGGATTACCTTGCATTTTGAAGAGATATTTCATCATTTGCTTGAATTTTTCGAATTTTCAAGAAGGGGAGATAACTCTATCCAGATCTACCAGGAAAAAGATAATTATAAATACTCATAATTAATAGCAATAGATTAGGTTAATTCTCAGTCCTTATCATTATTTGAAACACTTTTGTGTATCATATTTCTGTCACAAAAATCCATAGTAACCAATGATATCTCCATAGCAACCAAATCATTCAATACATGCACTTTGAAATTATAAAACTGAAGAGAGACATGTAAATAAATGTTGAGCACTTTTATGTCCTACGGTAAGTCATGATTGCCTAAACTGATTTCGCAATATTTCATCCACAGTGCTAAATTCTATATATTGAAGGAAAGCCCCATGAGTTATTTTTAATATATGTACCAAAATTTGGGTAATAGCCATTTTTCTAATTCAAAATCAAAAATTTTGAGAAACAATTTATTGTGCTTGAAATTCAACCAAATTGATATACAAGTTACAAAATGTTATTAAAATCTGATTTTCCACACCAAAAATTCATTTGATTTTATTGTCAAATTTCTGTCTCAGTTTTTGTCAAAAGTAAAAAATTTTGAGAAAATCCTTTTCTTTTGTAACCAGAGAGCATGATTTAAATGAAAAAATCACATTGCCTCCACCGGGACTCGAACCCGGGACGTCTGTGTTACAAGGCAGCGCATATACCGACTGAGCTAAATAAGTACATCGTTAGATCAACCGCTTACGGCTGACTAAGTATCTACTAATGGAGGGAAGCAATCCCGTCACACTTTTATGCTTTCAATGAAAATTGACGTTTAGGTAGATTAAGGTATTCCAAATCTTATCCAGATGTCAAACAGTTTCAAACATGTTGTAAAAACTATTTTTCTGACCCCATAAACTAGAATTGCTTCGTATACATTTGTCTCCCCACATCTCATAAAAATGTGTAAGTGGTTCTCTAGTTGTCATCTCCTTACCTTGTTTTCATGACAGTTTTCTGTTTTTGATGAAAATTGCTAATTTTGGTGTAGAAAATGTGGACTTTGAGGATTAGCATTTCTTTCTGCACAATTGACAAAAAGAGCATCAACAATCAATTTTTGAGTACATAGTAACTATTTTTACCATGTAACAGATTTGAGTACAAGTCGTAAATGCTTTTTACTTTGCTTACGTGTTCTTGTTATTATGGTAACTACATACATAATAAACAAATGAATTTGCGGTCGTTTAAAAACTGCTCAATACCAATATATTGTAGCATGCCTTCCATGACATTTAAGTGCCAGTCTGCCTAAGGATCAGGCAGTGACCAAAACATGATAGTCTCAGATTTTGATGAAAACTTGCACAAATCATCTCAATAACAAGTTTTAAAGAAAAAAAAAATTTTTGGACCATTAAAATATGGTTGCTATGGTAACCAAGCCATTTGATTTTTCCAAAGCAAGAGTTATTGAGATAAGCATAAAACTCACAGTTTTTCACTATTTCGGTCTCATGAAAACTGCTGATAATGTCAAATCTAGTATTTCTCCATTGTTCTGCAACTTTTTCAACTATTGAATATTCTTAAAGATCAGCTGTTATGATGAAATTCTATTTCATTCTAGAAATTTTGGGGTACGGATGGTCTCCATGGACCATAATGTCCAAAATAGCCAAAAAAGGCCAGAAATCAAGTTAAAATATTTTCTATTACCAGAACAGCACATACATGGTGTTACTTAATATGGAACAAGTAGTGGTCATACTATCATTATTTTATAAAAGCTCGGTGGGTTTTTTCCAAATATTGAGTAACCATAGCAACAAAGTTAACCCTATAGCAAAAAAGCTAAAAAAAAACAAATTGTAACAAATGTATTCAATATTAAAGTCTTAATGCATATATATGGACTAAATATGATTTATTTAAGCTAGTCACATTCGCGTGTTGTCAATTGTTCCCATTTTTGACCAGAAAGTATTACATAGCAACCAAAAAATGTCCTTAGCAACCAAAATGAACAAACTTAAAATTAGGTTTTTTTTTAAACAACAATATTCTCCAGTGCAAAAAGTGACGTTTTGTGATCAGATATCAATCATTTCTATATAGAATAACTAAATTAAACAATATATACATTACATTAGCAACAACTTAAACCTCCCAGTAACAAAATAGTTTCTTTCTATGCCAATAATTAAAATAAAAAAAGATAATAAAAAATACTATCAACATGTATTTTTTTTTTATCTAAATAGCTGTTTTTTAATAAAAATCTAGGAAAAGCCATTATAAATATTGTGATGGGTTCTCATTACCCCCTTACTTATAACTGATTAACAGTTGTATGCATACATGTATAACTATAAAGGAGGATATTTTCAAAGGTTTCCCATTTTTGGTGTGAGCTTACTTCTTATACCAGATTCATATTGGTTTGAGACCTATCATTATAGTCACTGACACTATCATGCTTTAAATTTTTTTATTACAACCTTGTTGTTGTTTTTTTTAAACAAGGGACCTGCATAACAAGCATGAATACTCCTTAGCAACAGTTAAGTATGCATATTCCACCTTCACTCTATCAAAATTATAGGCTATTATTAAAATTATGCAATGTTTTATGTTAAATGCTTCAATATTGAATTGCTATTAATACTTGAAAACTGACCGGAACTAAAAAAAACCTTAACGTTGACCTTCGAATCGTAAAAATGAGGTAAAGGTCAGATAACACCGACTTCTTAGACATATACAATCGTTCTATACACCAAATATAGTTTAAGATATTGCTTACAGTACTTGAAAAACAGATCAAAACACACTCAAAAAAAGTTGACCAATGAACCCTCAAAATGAGGTCAATGTCATATGAAACCTGCCAGACTGACATGTTCTTATAATTATTCCATACACCAAATAAAGTTAACCTATTGCTTAAAGATCTTGTAAGATGGACCAAAACACAAAAACTAAACATTGACTAATGAACCATGAAAATGGGGTCAAGGTCAGGTGGAACCTGCCAGATCTAGACTGACATCTATCCCTTACAATCATTCAATACACCACACATAGTTGACCTGCTTATAGTATAAGAGAAATGAACCTATTCATACATGCATGTAACTTTGACCTTGATCACTGATCCATGAAATGAAGTTGAGGTCAGGTGAACCCTGTCTGACCGACATGTAGACATAGCCAGTAACCCATATACCAAATATAGTTATCCTAATATTACTCATAATAAGTGAGAAATTCACATGACCAAAAAACTAAAAAAAAAATCAAGCAGTCGCTGAACCATGAAAATGAGGTCCAGGAAATTGGACATATGACAGACGGAAACTTTGTAACATAAGGTATCTGCAAACAAGCTCTTCTTATTTATATGAACAAGCATTCTGAGAGTATTGCATGACAATACATAGTCCCCTACCGGTTATAAATTAATTGTACTGGAACAAAATGCTAACTTGATCTATAACTTGTCATGATGTAAACTATATAACAAATATCAAGTCAATATCTTCAAGCATGACGAAAAAAAGTGCAGAAAACTGATAATTTAAGTGAATTTTCTAAGTCCAAGGACCATAACTCTGCAAAAAATCATCAAACCGAAACAAAATTCAAACATGGTCTGTAACTTGTCATGATAAAACTATATACCAATTATCAAATCAATATCTTCAAGCATGACGAAAAAAAGTGCAGAAAACTGATTATTTGAGTGAATTTTCTAAGTCCAAGGACCATAACTCTGCACAAAATTATCAGACCGGAACACAATTCGAACTTGATCTGTAACTTGTCATGATAAAACAATATACCAAATATCAAATCAATATCTTCAAGCATGAAGAAAAAAAGTGTGGAAAACTGATTTGCCGGACTGACAGAAGGACAAACAGACGGACAGACAGACAGACGGACGGAGTGCAAACCTAGAGTCCCCTTCGACTTCGTCGGTAGGGGACTAAAAATGCAGGTCTTCTACCATCTAAAATATAATACATGTAGTTGGCCCTGCAACTGTCAGATAGTAATGCCTTTGTGTGGCATACTGCGAGACAAAAATGTATGTCATAATAAACATGCAACATTTTTCAAAAAGAAAACAATAAATTGCACAACTTATTGCATTCATTTATTATAATGTTTTAGAAAATAACTGACCAAAATTAGAGATTAATTTATGCTAGTACAGGAAAAGCTCATCCAAATTCTGATTTCAGAATGCAAGTTCTTATCATCGAGATACTCAACCAATCTCAACATTCAAATGTTTTTAAAAAATTAACAGTATTCAGATTGTTCAGAGTCTTCTTATATTTATCATGTCTTATTATTTTATCTGTCATTCAGATTTGGTATATCTTTTCTTTAGGTTCAAACATGGCTATGCAATCTCCGTGAATAGAGGCTATAAGTTGTCATCCTTCACTTCGAGAATGTTGGTCAATTTGAAGGCATGTTATCTCCTTATGTCCATTCGCAACAAACATTTTGATTTTCCTACTCCAGTGCGCAATATTGGCATCACAATATGATGAGCCTCATTGAACTTTGCTGTAGTCGAATCTTTTAATCATCAATCCTGCAATCATATGAAATTTCAGTAAAAATCAAAATAAATATATTAGCAATTTATTTACAGTTCATATTGATAATTTCAAGTTCAATGGTTCATTTTGGTTGAATGAAAAGACGAACACTTAGGAAACGGCCATGAATTTTGGTACATGTATGTGGACAATGGGAACAATATACAAATTTATGTGCAAGACCCAGGTGGAAGATTGTTTTTTCTTGCTTACTAGTGATTTTGCAATCACTTGTCATTTTTCCCTTTATACATATCAAAAGTATTTCTTCATTTTTTGTCACTAAAATATGTAAAAGTTAGTTAAAAAATAAACTTGACACAGTCTGTATGTTAATTTGATAGAAAAATTCAAATGATGAAATCAAATAGTTATACTCTGAAATGTAAAAATATGCCAAATATTCAAAGTGGATGAACCATTACTGAAAGTAAAGGGCCTAAAAAATGTTTGTAGACCTAAGTAATGCCATTAATGCTAATACAACTGCATACCAAATAAGAGGGTGGTAATGGGGGTACCATCATGACAAAAAACGATAAAAATTCTTGCCAAATGACGTTAACGGTAATTTTAGGTCCATGACAATAAAATGTACTCTTTCTTTTAGACGATACAAAAATCTACTGATTTTGACGAATCACGTTAAATATTTTCCAAAATTAACAGTAACAATAATTTTTTGAGGCCTCTGACGAATCACGATAAGGATATTTTGATGAATCACGGTACGATTTTAACCAATTTGACGCTAACGGTAGCCGAAAATGACCGTTTGACGCCTGATGGTAAAAGGCATTCCTACATTCAAATAAAACATGTAAAACTAACTTATCATAAGTGGTTCTTTATTAACTGATCTATACATGTAATCACACACTTTAAAATGTAAACTTTGCTAAAATGACAAGAGCAATAGACCATGAATTGGAGCTGCGGTAAGGGGACAGGGCCAAATAATCTCCATGGATAGAAGATGCATCAAATTGAATGATAATACAACTTTATATCAAATAATATTTATTTATTATTATTAGTTTCACTTAAACTTTGACCTAATCAACATTTTTTAAACACCAATATGTTTTGAGTAGGGAAAAAACTCTCGATGTTGTTGACAATATATGTGTAGGTGATCTCGGCTAAACTCTTAGCATTGTCAAAATTTTACTCAAGTAGCTCCAGCAGAAAATGTAGGTCATGTTGACCTAGTTCTTGTTGTAACATATATATATATATACATGTATATCTTATATCATAAGATGAATTCACCACTTGCTCAACACTGAACCAATATGCAAAAATCATTTTGTAAATCAGCATTTGCATACCGACGGGGAAATCTATGAGCTGTCCCGTTGTGGATGGGGATCATCCCGATGCAAAAAACATCTTGTAGCTAAAGTAATTCTTATCTATTTCTAAAATCACAAAATAATGTATAAAAAAATATTTCAACTTAAAATATGGACCCAGTGGGGATGGGTTGAAGTAAACAATCAATTACTGGAATTTACTGGTATATAAAATATTTGAATTCAAATAATTTTTACCTCTTCAGTGCAACATGTGCAATAGTCTTTTCAAATATTAAAGGTATGTGTCTTTACAAATCACCTCTGCAATTCAGCAAATCCTGAAGAAAAAGTTTAAAATTTGTTAAGTCTGATAAAAATATATACATGTATATGAATGAATGATATAATTTATTAAGACAATACAAATTTCTTTGAAGCTCTTACTTTAGACCAATTTAATAAGTTGCAAATAATATTAACTGAGAAAAGTCATTTCCCTAAGTACAGGTTATGCAGAATACAATGCATGTTTTAACCCCTGAGAACTAGAGTTTCAAAGACTGGGTTCATTTTTTTTTATACATTCAAAAATTATAAATATGGTAATGGGCCTAAGGCAAACCAAAAATGTGTACATGTGTGTTTGAAGTACTAAAAACACTGACCTTTATTTTATGATTAAAATCGCCTACATTACAGTACACCGGAAAGATTGTCTTGTCATTTTTTAATAGCACCGATAAAAACAATATATTCCTCCCATTAAGCCAATAAGGTACGGTTTAATAAATCATCAAATAAAAAATATTTCTGTAATTTGTTGGCCTATTTAAAAAAAAAATAGTTGTTCCTTTGATAACCTAACCAAGTATAAACATTTCTGTAAGCTTTGAAAAAGCCCTATTTATATTGCGTCAAATAATTTCCCCTTTTTAAACCAGTCAAAAACTTTTAAAAACAATCATTTTCCTACATGTACCTATCTAACCTAATTCCTCTCAGCTGTTGTAGAAACACTGGTGCTATCTTTTTAGGCCTAAATGCATCATAATGTATGAAACCTTTAACATTTGCTAAAGAATTGAATGTGAACCTTCCTTTGGAAGGGCAATAATCCATTTTTCAGGGGTCTCCTTCAGTTTAGTACACACTCATATATTTGGCTAGCTGCGGAACCGTAGCTCTTAGGTCCTTATGGTATTTTTTTACTATTTGCGGATGGTCCGCAAGTAAGTAAAAAAATAACATAAGGACCTAAGAGCTACGGTTCCGCAGCTACTGTTTGGCAATATAACCATATTTTCTAAACATCCTTTATTAAATATGAGAAAAAAAAACCAGCTTACATGTCAATCTACCAGAAAAAAACAGGCAAAAACAAAATATGAGTCTGATAATGAGCCCCCCCCCCCCCCCCTTTTTTTATATTCATGTTGAACCTAAACCATTTTCAATACAATATATAATGGGGGAGGAGAATGGTGTATGACCAAAATAATCTTTTGAATATATATGTAAATAGTGTACCTTGTGTTTCTGTAGAACAGAGAAAAAAGGCCCTGCTCATCTGGATGGGCACTGCTCCGTCTGGCTTTGATCCTTCCTTTGTGAGACGGTTGTGCACAGCCAACATTCCTTCTAATAATCTCATGCGTATTCCTATGGTTTGTTGGTGTTTTAGACAAACAAAGTATGAATGTTCATATAATTGGGAAAAGATCCCAATATTGTAAAAAATCAAATGTCCCTCTGACTTGATTTTTGCATATTTTAATCCTAGGGAAGTGGTTCAACAGTAATATTACATTGTCCAATTGGCGTGTTGTCTTTTAATCCTTCGAATATTTTGAATTCCCACATTCATCGTCAGAAAAGATTGAAAAACTACAGTTCAACATTGTCTGCCACATGCATGACATCAGTGCTGTTTACATCAAACGAGTTCCGCTAGGGGAAGTAACTCTGTAAATTGTGTTCTTACATGAACAAAGCAACAGAATCTTTGGAATGGAATTTTGACAAGCAGACGAAAAAACCCGAGAGACGAAGGCTTAAACCTGAAATTTCTATTTGCTTAGTATTTATATTTGCAATCATTGTGATTGTACGGTTCTGGTAATAAACATTATTTTGAATTGAAATTGCCTGAATTTACATAGGATAATAGTAAAACATATAGAACTTCGAAGTGCTAATACATAATACTGCAATTGATTTTCTAAAATTTTATTATACAGTTCTATTTTGATTGACTAAAGGTAACATATTTTGTGGAAGAGATGAATATTTGAAATATGTCATGTTTTGAAAGTTTTAGAATTTGCCTGATTCTAAGGCAGACTGGCACTTAAAGCTTCTTTGGCCCAAGTTTGTCATAATCCAAACTTTCGGCATGTAAACAGAGAAAAAGGGCATTTTGCTCATGATAAATGCTATAAGGTTACCTATGGTTGCTTACTTCTATGTCTGTCATTTGGTGAAAAGTTGTCTCATTGGCAATGATATAACATCTTCTTATTTTTAAAATACAGATCTTAATCTATGTATAAATATAACAATTTTCACAAAAGAAAACAAACATGTATGTCTGGGATATATTTATAGACACGTGTTTTGGCCACAATCAGTTCACAGCTTCTGATGGAAAAGAAATAAATGTTCATACTGAGTAGCAACTGTTGCTGAACTCACATTTTTTCATTGATCAATTTGATCAACCTGTAAACACAATAATTTGCAAATGTCCTCTATATATGTTATTTAGTAAACTACAGTTTCTAACAGACACACAGAGTGATCATAGCTTTCAGTGAAATTAATTTTTTGAGTAAACAAGAAAAGAAAGGTTTTAGTTTTGTTTGCTAGAAAGAGAGATGTCCAATGACATTGTTGACTTATATTTCCTATCATTTGCATCCATACCATTTTTTTATAAAACAAATGTAAGAAAAGACAAACACATGAGCTCAACCTGATGAAAATGATCTTTATTTGGTTCAAATTTAAAGATTGCACTTATTATGTTGCAGAATATACAGAAAGAAATACAGATACTCAATATTAACAATATTTATTAATTAATAGACTGGAAATTAGGTCATTATGTATCAATATATATGTAACATTTGAATCAAAATTAACATTTGAAATTTTCATTATCTGTCATGTGACATTTTTTATCACAGTAGTTACGAAACACTTATTGTATTACATATTGAAAATTAAAATGTCAATTGGAACAATAGAATTTAAAAGCATTCAGTCATATATAATAATTGTTAATGAACAGAAATGAAATTGTAGCCTGTATAAAATTTAAACCACATTAACTCTTAAATTGACCTTTGCATAGTGTTTGATTTATTTTATTAGATAACAGGAAAATAATTGCGAGCACATATTGACAGACCTATATACAAAAACAGTACTAAATCCCATCCCTTCATCTAGCAGCGTGGTCAAATAACAAACCAGATCCTCACATGAACCTGTATTTGCTCATATAGATTATCAATAAATTATCTTAAAAAAAATATTTAAAAAACAAATCTTTCTCACAAGTCTATATTTTATAGTATTTTCCTAAAAAAATCTATCTTCCAAATTTCATTATTAATCATGGTCATCTTGGATAAAATCAGATCATCAAGTGTAATATTAAGAGAAAATATTCCATGTAAAATTTGATTGAAATTGGCCTCAGAAACTTCCGATGGGGGTGATTAAGATTTGAAATGTGGACAGAAGACAAGAATGGACACAAAGTGATGGCAACAGCTCACACATCCTAAAGTAATAGTGATACTATACAATGTCATAGTACAAACTATTAAACATGCTGTTAAAAACTAAATATACAGTAGATAAAAGTCAAAGTGACCCACTTCTTGTCTTACAAATTAAATTCACTAATATGTATCCCACAACATACGTGTTGTACACAATTTACTCATTCTTACTATGGTAAAAAAAATTGTCATCTTTGACTTTAAATCCTCAATATTATAAAGAACTATAGACAATATTTAAAAAATTGTATAAAAACGTTTACCATTTAAATTTTATTCCCCGACATTCAGTCCAATCTAATTGCTAAGTAGAAAGGTATGCATAGTATACGAGAGGACCAGTCAAAATGTTCTAAGATAATATCCAAAAGTTTAGCTCACAAACAAACATTCACTTTGAAATTATCGGTGCAAAGTAATATTTAAATCTTTATCTTATAAATAGTGAACTGAATCTCTATAAGGTCAAAGATTCTGTCGTCATAAGAAACAAGTTTTTCGGATAATAACAATTATTGTTTATTTATATTATAGAAGTTTGGTTACAGAAGCAAGTATGTCTGTAAATAGAAATGTCTGTTAATCTCTATTAAAATTCACCATAACTTTATTTTTTAAATTCTACAATGTATAATCAGAATAATATGGAATCTGAAAAAAATTATAATTCATTTCATATGACAAAAATCATACACTTTCTGAACAACAGATTTTGATGTTGTAACACGTACTACACCTGATCTATGTTTTTGAGACAAAAGTGCCATCAGTCCATCAATACCATTTCTTTGAATTGACAAAATAAAATGCTTCTTGCACAAGCCAGTTGAAGCTGCCTTTTTGGCTAACTGTTTTGATATTACTTGTTGTCAACAAGAGTTTTGAAAGATAAGTCATTTTTGGCAATAGTTCGGGTACATTCCATCAAATGTAAACTTACAGACATGAGAAGCTAAATTTCCATGTGATCGTACAAGTTTAAATAAAGATTTACAATCATATAAATCATTATGTGCATCATAGCTTTCCCCTAAAAAAATCTGACACTAAATCACACTGCTTGTAACTTTGACGACATGGATATATACTCCTTAATAAGATTCTGGTGTCAATGAACCCATTGAATTATAGGCAAAATTCATCCCACATCTTCGATTCATTTAATTCGTTATAAAGTATGTGACAGTCAAAACTTTTTATATTGTGTCTAACAAGTGTTGGTTAAGAAGAAAACTTGGTTGGTTATATAGGGAATCACTGAAGCTTGACTGGAGCGGACCCTCTCTTAGGCCTTTGATAATAAGTTCAATTTCAACGATGAATCTACAAAAGTTGAAAGGTTTGGGATTGTCTGGAAGAGTATCAGTTGTATCATGAATAACGTCTTCATTACCTCTGGCGGCATTTGATACATTTATAAAGTCACTAACACAATAATCATGTTCCTTTCTAATTTTTGATACCAATCTTGATTCAGTCTCATTTTTCTGATGCCGGATTTTCCTAAATGTCTCAGATTTACTTATGGATTTTTTGGTTGAAAATTTGCCCTTTGTACATTTCAAAAACACCATTTCAAATAGTTGCAGTGTTGATATTTACATTTTACGGATCAGCGGTTTTGACGACGCAGAAGAAATATGGGTTTCCGGAAGAAAGTCGTAAATATGAAAAGCGTTGGAAATAGGTCTTTATATATAAAAGATAAAGTTTTTGATCATTCTCAAATAAAATAAATCGTTCCTTTATTAAAAAAAACATATTTCCAAAAATTATTCCACAAATAATATTACAACATCTCAGACCGTCTTGCGGATCGTAGTTGCGCAAGTTACATGCGCGGTGGTATTCAAATGACTTACCTTAACTAAACTTAAAAATGCGGTACACACAAGTCTGATAAAAGATCCTTACTAGAAAGTTAAAATAAACTAAATTTGTCCACAAACCAACTGTTTCTTCATAGAATTGGGAATGAAAACGTGGAATGAGTCAAAGAGACAACAACCCGTCCAAAGAGCTGAAAATAGTCCAAGGCCACCTACGGGTCTTCGAAGCAGCGGGAAAATCCCACACCTGGAGCCGAGCTTCAGCTGGCCCCTAAATATTAATGTATACAAGTTCAGCGAAATGGACGCCACACTTAACTCCGACACATAAGAACCAATATTAAAATACAAAGAAGATTAACAAAGGGTATAGGTTCCAGATTTGGTAAAGGCGCAAATATGCAGCGGGTTAAAATGTTTTGAGAAAACTCAACTCTCCCCTCTACATAAATGTACCTCTAGACAATGTGAATAAAAAACAAACAACTATACGCACAGTAAAACTCAGTTTAAAAAAGTCCGAGACCGATATTACAATAGGTGACAGAAGAAATAAGGCAAAATGACAATAATCAACTTGATTAACAAAGACTACTAGCAGTAACGCACATGCCAGCTCTAGACCTCAATTAAACTGATCAAGAGATTATGTCTTTATCATATGAAATTCAAGCACAATCCCTGCAGGTAAGGGGTTAAGATTCATGCCATCATAAATTATACAATAAGAACATAACCCGTATAATGCTAACAACTGGTTTTAGAATAAATGTGTAAAATTCCGATGCAAAGACCTTATATGTGAATCAAAATTAATTCCAAAAAATGCAATCTTTAATGAATTGATGAATTGACAACAGTACTGTAGCTATATCCCTTCTCACTAAGTCAGTTTAAAGATTTGGTTAGTTTTTGAGGTGAATGGTGACCTTTTTGTGCTTGTAATAGAATATTACCATAAAAGATTGAATGTGAAATACCTGAATGTATAAGGTGTGTGCACGTTGATTCATTGCATGCTCATATTTACGAATGGTGTCCTTATACCGATGATAAAGCCTAGTAAAACTTTTGACAAGTTTGTGATATCAACGTCTACCAGACAGTTTAAAAAGTTGAATTGGGCTGATTTATGAAGGAATTTGTGCACGAAGACTTCCAACATGGCGACAAAAGGGAAATATCTGTTGCTCAAATTGTTTTGATCGAAACCTATCTACACGTGTTTTAAGGTGAGCTTGTAACCAAAAGCTACCACCAGCCAAAATTTAAACAAAATGTTTCAAAGCATAACATGCATAAATATCCAATTGTTTTGTGAATTGAACAATCAAAAACATCCGAAATTAACTATACATCAATATTAACTCTGCTACAATCAAGAAATTAAAAAAAAAA